TATATATATTCACCAGGTGGAGCAATTGAACGGAACTTCAAAGCCTCTTGATTTTCTTCTCTTAAGACCTCTTGGTTTTATCTTAATTTTTCAAAGAGAAGAACTCTTAATTCTAATATGTATTTTGGCGTGTGAGATCAAGTTTTTGGATGTGTAAATCTAATTTATGCGTATGAAATAATCTCTTAGAAGCGAGGGGGCTTGATGTATTGATTGGCCACGATAGGGACCCTTAGGAGGTGCTAAATATGGACTTTTCCAATTAAGAATAGAAAACCTTATGTCTTCCGACTTATTAATATTCTAGAAGTTCTTAAGTCTTTCAACTTGTTCACCTTCCAGAAAACTTGTTAACATTCTAGAAGACCTCATGTCTTTATTCGTTATTTGATTAAATAATAAAACATTCTACTAGAACAATATTATTACACTCCCCATTTAGCTCCGAATTACAATTAATTCATCTTCCGACTAATTTCTCTATTTAACTTCCCATGTTTAAAACATAAAGTCCATTAGTTAATTTAATTACTGACAATATAGTTAATTAGTTTCTTGAACCGAAAATGGTACAACTCAATTCTCTTATTATTACGTCGGAAATTAATCCACCGGCCGAATTTAACATAATAATCCTTTTTGAGCTCATTTCGGGAACATCATCAACCCGGCGGATTGGGACACGGTGGTTGTAAACAAACTTAACGGCACATCATGTAAACAACATCACTTATTAAAATTCAGTATGTCATTCTACAAAATAGGTATCATCCTTGGTGAATCAAATAAGTAAGCGTTGAATACATATGCCTGTTTATTGTCTTACTGGTTAAGAGAATGCATCAATTACTGAGGTCTAGATTATTTACTTGGTCAGTATAAAATAATCATATCCACATGTAGGTCTGTTCAATACATACGAGTTGTACAGTGTAATTCATTAGTAAGAGATCAACTGATTTAAAAATCACACTATAACCTTTCACGACAGTTGATTCAATTCTATCTGCACCGTGAACAAATATTTATATTTTACAAGACACTGATAATGTGATCTTTCTATTCGACACGTCGAACTACATTATCTACAATGTAAAACAAAGAAACTATGTTCGCATAAATAAATGAACTACGAACACACACACTTGACTAAAAACACACATCTCATTCAAAATAGAATTGGGAGTAATCACAAAGCCGAACTTCTACATTATACTCCAACAATGGTTTCATGACAACACCAAGTAAGTGGTAAAATCAAACTTCTCAGGTGTCCCAAAATATGATATGGTGTTTAACAATGTATGTGAGTCTTTCAATTTAAATATTCTTGAGGCAAGAGAAAAGCCCATCATCACTATGCTGGAATGGATAAAAGAGTATTTAATCGTAAGCCTCCAACAGAATAGGGATAGAGCAGCTGCGAAATGGCTTGGGAAATTGTGTCCTAAGATACAAAAGATCTTGGACAAACATATAGAGAAGATGGATGAGTGCATTTCAATTAAGGCAGAGGATAACAAATCAAATTCATGCTCGGGTGGAGAAGAGTATGTTGTGGCTCTTGACAAAAATAAAAAATAAAACAAAAAAGCATTTACCTATAGGGCTTAGGAGTTGAGTGACATACCTTGCTCACATGCTCTTAGAGCCATTATCAACCAAAAACAATACCCATTTGACTTTGTGAGCCTGTTTTACTCAGTAGACTCCTACAAAATAGCTTATGAATCTGCAATCATGTCAATGAGTGATGACCTAATGAACCAAGGGATAAGAGAAAGAGGCCAGCTTGTCCATACAAGCTTAAAAAGCACAAACATCTATAAGGGTACAAAATGCCATGAAAAAGGTCACAATGCTATAACATGCAAGGTAAAAACTCTTATTTTTCTTACAAAAACATGCATCTGAATTGATTGCTCATTCTAACACCATTCTTATATTTATGTATATCGTCTAGGTTACTAAACAAAACACCGGAGAAGTGGAGAATTCTAGTGATGCACCACAACAACATGAAGAAAATGCAAATGCCAATATCCCTAACAGGAGGGAGAAGTTAAAGGTAAAATTACATACTTTCTTACATTATTTTTCTTACAAAAAATATGTATTTCAATTGATTTCTCCTTGTAACAACATTGTTATAAATATGTATATTGGCTAGGTTACTAAGAAAAACACAGGTGAAGTGGGAAAATCTTGTGATGCACCACAGGAGTCCATGACGTATAGCTTTTTTTTTTTTTTTTTTTT